TCTTTATTTGACAAGCTGCATAGCTTTTGCAACTCCTTTGATGTATATCTGACTTACCTGCAACTGACAAACAGAAAGATATCCTTCGATAACATCAATAAAGGGCCATAAAATTACCCATCAATATCTTGTGGTTGCCTGCAACTGTCATTGTTTACATACAAAAGCTATTATGACGTCATCTCTGCCTGCTCGCCCAGCTTCGTCCAACTGGTCTGGACGAGCAGGACGAGGAGTTCCGAACGACTCGAATAAATAATACAGACAAACGTTCAGACCGAGAGATTAACAGACCGACAGAGACAGACAGACAGACCTGTATAATACAAACACTCAGAGAGAGAGAGTCAGACAGATACAGTCAGACAAACAGGCAGACAGAGAGATGGTCAGATAGACAGACCCATAGCGAGACAAGCAAACCGACAGGCAGGCAGACATAAAGACAGACAGACTAACATTCATACACACATAAATACACAGACAGTCAGACAGAGGAGCCGGCGAGACCTCAGCGTGGACCGACCAGATTAGATGTCTTAATTGGGACAGATATCAAGTTCGGGCGGAGAGAGACTCGAAGTTTCTTCATAAGAATTGATATCTGTGGCAATGGCTTTGGGCTCAAAGATTATATACGGGGCTTTTTGTTTCGCTCTCTTCTTTTTTGCGGTTTCGGGAGCTCATGTGAGTCGACTGATGTGTATATATACAAAGATATATATGTGTCTCTCTCTCTCTATCTCTCTCTCTCTCTCTCTCTCTTCTCTCTCTCTCTCTCTATATATATATATATATATATATATATATATATATATATATATATATATATATATATATACATTTATAAACACACACACAAATACTCGAGGTGAGAATTACATACACGATATCTATAATTTGTTATTTAGTATTAATTTTTAAAATTACTTGTATTTTACAATTACCATACAATGTCACTGATTACCAGTGACTTATTTCAGGCAATAGTTAAATACGAAGAGGACAATTTTTGTTGCATTAGACACAGAACATTCTCTCTCTCCTGCCCAAGATATATACATATCTATATCTATATCTATATATATGTGTGTGTGTGTGTTGCATTGTAAATTTAAACTCCACCGATTCACTTGTGTTGTAATGGAAAAAAATCATTTTCAAAAATAAAGCATATTTTCACTTACTGTTTCCATATATCAAAATCAGATTTTGGATTTGAAGGAAACCCCAAGACCCAATTTGACTTACCTAATCATAATGTGGGTAGCATTGACTTGACATTCCTAAAGGCTCATGGGATCGGTATGAATTCACTTCTCTTGGCGTGTTTAAGAATTTATTGTATGATGAAAATATGTAATTAGGTTGATTGCTCATTAATAGAGTTACTTATTTACTTGTTTATTAAACTATAATCTTGGTTCAATTGGACTCGGTTATTTGTATTTATGCTACTAGAATAATGATAAACATTTGGGTATTTTTATTTGGTGTTTCTATATTTATATCAGCAATATAATTTTTTCTTTTTTTTTTTTTTTTTTTTTTTTCTTTTGATAAATTTTCCTTGTA